GGTCGGGCTGGGCTCGCCCGGGGAAGAAAACAAAACTGGGGAGGTGAAGCCGTCAGGTTGGGGCTGTGCTCGCACCGCAGCTTGTCCGGTCGCAGCCGTTCGCGGGAGGCGGGTTCCCGGGTTCGTGGTTCAACCTGAGGGGCGCTGGGCTTGGCCCGGCTTTCATGAAAATCCGGGAGGGCTCCCGGAGCCACCGGGGCTTCGGGGCGAAGCAGCGGAGAGCGAAATCTCTGCCCCGCAAGAAGTGCTCTTTGACCTTTCTCAGAATTTAGTGTATCCTTGCTTTTTTGTCTCTTTGTAATCGGTGCCTTTCAGCGTAGTGCCCGCGCTACGTTTCCTATAAAATTGTTTCCTCATAGCTTTTTGTCTTGTCTTTCAGGGAGGGAGTTGCTTTCCGGTAATAGTAAAGGAACGTGATACTGAATGAAAACGCACCAACAGCATCCTCATTAGTTGGAGCCTGACTCTTTCTGCTTAATGTTGGTTTCTTTGTCATCAGGTCTGCTAAAAAATGACAGAATATAAACTTGTTGTCGTTGGAGCTGGTGGTGTAGGCAAGAGTGCCTTGACAATACAGCTAATTCAGAATCACTTTGTGGATGAATATGACCCTACAATAGAGGTAAACACTTACATCTCATACCTTTTGTGAAGAGGGATTATCAGTAATAATGGTAGTTGTTTACTTTTGGGCAGTTACCACAAAAACATAGAACAAGGCTTTGTAGGAAAAAGAACTCAAAGATAATGGTCAGCGTCGGACCAGCATGGGAGAGGAAATTGCTGTGCTTCTTGATCTGGCTGTGGAGCAAGAGCTGCAGTAAAAAATCAACAACTTTGATCAATTAAAGTGTGGTGTTAATTGTCATGTTTTGTTGGACAGTGTGGGTGGATGTTTTTAGGATCCCGGTGATAAAATATTTGCCAAATTCACTTGAAAATGCTTGGCAAAACTCTTCATGGCTTCGCATGCAACCTCTTAAATGTGACTTTCCTTTTTGAAATCAAGAAGGAAAATTTGTAGTTCTGAAATATGTGCGTCAAGCTTTCTCAGCTCCTATCATTAGGATCTGTTTCACACAGTGAGAAATGTGTCCTGGAATGTTATGGTGAACGAAGCAAAAATTCGGAGCCTGATTTTTTTTTTAAACACACCAGTGCATGTTTCCGTATTTAGAGAAGTGTTGTAAGATAGCTGCTGTAGTGGAGTCTTTGAAATACAAGGCACAGTTCCTCAAAATCTGAAATTGTATTTAAGCTTTAAAAGTTGCAATATTTTAAAGGTTCTTAATGAGCAGGCAAGCTCTGCCTTTTAAATATAAGAAAAATACTAGTGTTGTCTGAAATCTCCTGTGGATCGTTGGATTTAATAACCTCAGACCGTATAAAAGGAGAAATGACACTATAATTTACCCAAGATTTTTATGTTCCCAGCACTGAAGCTCTGTAGCTTATGACTTCATTTATATGTTTGTACAATGAGGCACTTCCAGGCTCACTTGAAGGAATCACAAGGGTTTAAATCTAGGCTTAAAATGGTGAATCGGAAAATGGCTATGTAGTCATTTTCAGGTAGACATAAGTGAAAGGAGCTGGTGCCCTGAGGTGGTAGGAAGCTGTCTTACTTTAGTGAAGTACAGGCCTGAGTTAACGTGCCCCAAATAGAGAAGCGTTGGCTTGAGTTTGAATTTACCTTAATGTGCCTGTGTGTCGTCTTGTCTCTCTGTTGCATGACCAAGTGACCTCATGTATGCTTGCAGAAGATTTTGTGAATAGACCTATGGAGAGAGGAAGAGTGAGTGACTTGCACTAGGAGAGCAGCTCTTTCAGTTACTAAGATGTGAAATCTTAAAACAACAACAACAACCCAAAACACGCTTAAAAACCAGAAAACACACAAAACTCATTGAGAGAAACAAACAAAATGGGATTTTACTTTTTCCTGCAAAAGGAACTTCAGAGGATGTTGATCTTTGTAATACTGTTTCATAATCATCTGGGTTTCTCTCAGGTTAGGGGCGTGTTTATGCATTACAAAAAGTACTGTGGAGGTTCTATGTTAGAAGCTGTCATATAAAGTCAGAACTGTGTAAACAATTTAGGAACACAAAAACTTAAATGCCAGTGTTCCTGAATCACTTGAGGGATTTTGCTAATCAACAAGCTGACTATTTTGAGGAATACCGGATACATTTTAATGTAAAATAATAAAATGAAAATACAGTTCCTTATAGCAGGAGCCTAAAATCCCAGAACTATGGCTTTTATTTGCTGGTGTGCAGGATGACTGTAACACTGTGGTGTGGTCCAGAATCAGTATGTTCTTCTGAAAGAAAGGAACCTTTAACCTAATGGGTTTTACCAGCATCCACAACTTGTTGCATGCAACAGTATTAATCTTCTGCAACTCCTGCAAGTTCTTGTCTGAGTACCAGTTACCATTTTTGTCTTCTAAATTCTGAGACCTTGAGGATGGAGACTGTATCTTCCTACTTGTGGTAAATCACCTTGTGTGCGCTCACAGTGCTATAATCATGTAGGTAAGCTTGTAGGCAAGACATAATTCGGTTATAGTAAGAGTGGTCTGCGATCTGGAGTGGCAAACAGGTTGCAGAGAATGGGCTTGTAATTGGGTTTAAATGCTTCAGTCCTTGCCTGGGCAGACTCCCATTCAGTTGAGAAGGGTTGCTTGATTGTGCTTCCTGTATAGATGCAGTTGCGGTGGCAGGGGCTGATCAAAGAACAATAGCTGTAGAGTGTTTTTTATGCAGTATGAGGAAATAAGGCTAAAGTTGTTTTGACTGGTAAATAATAACAGTTAAGACCATACAGTAGTGTCACTACTATTGTTTTTCACTTACTACTGTTTCTTGCATTGCTATACGGCTGTTGACAAAATACTCATTTTTCCCTCGCAGATAAATAATCCAGCTAACTATTTTTGGGTAGACAGAGAAGAGAGTTCAGTGCTTGTTAACTATAGTGGATTCCATAACTACACAGTTACTGAATAATTTTAAATCTTTCCTGTGATTAATAAAATGAAACTCAACACCTCTCAAATTCTCATGTTGTAAAGACATGATGCAGTTGAAAAGAGGAAAAAAATATACTACTTACTTAATCACAGATGTGTTTACAATGTTCGCGTTGTTGCTGTTTTCAGTGGAGTAGACTTAATGATTCAACAAATAACTTGTTTGGAAAATGTCGTTTCATGGCCTGCTTGAGTATTTTACTATTATATCTGAGCATAGAAGATGACGGGGGCCAAGGGGGGGAATTAAAATGAGTGCATGTTTGGGTGGCTACTGTTATTCAAATATACATACTTTATATGTTTCATAATTTCATATCTTATTTGAAATAGCTGTCCAAGCACAGATTTATAGCCAAGCAGTTTTAAGTGTTTAACTGTGTGTACACTAACCCTTGTAAATCTGGCCTAAGACACAGAACAATTGGACTAGTGCCCTCTACTGGTCGAGATTTGTTATATCGTCATTTGCAGTATCTTGTGTGATAATATAATTTTTAAATATTTTTATTTTTATTTTTTTACAGCTTCAGCATGTTTTAGTGCTAAATATATGTCATCTTTTACATGTCCTAGAAAAAGAACAGCCTTCCTAGTTGCCTGTCAGAGGTTTTCAATTGGATTAGCAAAATCCCTCGGCTGATTTAGGAATACTGATATTTAAATCTGTGTTCTTAAATGACCTATGCACCTGTGAAACTTCCACCAATATTTAGTAATAGCTTAGTCTTAGTAGCTGTGAAATTTTAATATTAAATCACTGGTATAATGGATTTTTACAAAATCATAGTTACGAGCTTAGATGGGATTTATTAAGCAGTGTTTTTTTTAGATAAATTCCATCTGTAGCATATAGCTGAGATTTCCTATCACATATTTTCTTATCAGTGCTTGTGAACAGATGGAATTATTACTCCTTTAGCATAATTCATACTGATTTTTATGGCTTGTGAAAGGCCAATAAAAGCAGGTTAAGTGATTAATGAAATTAAAACTTTTTTATACAGATAAGCTGAGTCTGTACACTGGGGAAAAATTGCAAATTCATATTTGGAGTCGGGTGCTACTTTGAAATTAACTTCTAGTTTGCATTTTGTTTCTACTTAGTAGCCTTATACTGGATGTTCCTTCGTTGTTTTTTTCATTGCATTCATTACTGCAAATCTCCAATGTGCAGTAAAGCTACTAGATTTTTATAAATTAGGAGATTTATAGATTGGAAGGTTGGGTTTTTTTCATTGTTGAAGGGGAGTCTGGCCATTTGGGTTCTGCAATTGCACTTTTGAAGCATAAGTGCCACGAGTACTGTGGTGGCATAACTGTTCTTTTTGGTACATCCTGCATTCTGTTTTGCAGGACTTGATAATTTTTACAGTATGGTAACACTTAAACAAATTTTATCTTGGGTATGTTTACATTGGTATTCACCATGATGGAGGTGAGGGGTCCCAGTAGCCTGAGCTTTTAAGGTGGTGCTTCAGTTCTTTCCTACAGTGACAATTGTGATTTCAGGTTTGATGTTTTGTGGGGGAGTGGGGGGAAGGGGGGCAAAAAGGCAAAGTTTTTATTATTTCAGTAGCTTGGAAGGAATTTGTAAGCTTGAATTTTCTCTCCCACATCTTTCTTTTCCTTCTGCCTCAAATCCGCGTTCTAGTTAGAGATGAAATTTTCTCTCCAGAAGTGTGCAAAACAAATATAATCTCAAAGCATTTCTTCTTTTCGTACTTGTGCTGTGCTTTATGCTGGTGCGTCTTTGGTACTACTGCTAACATGGTAGGCATGCTAAAGCCAGCAGTTCTTAAAAGTGATTTTCTCTTAAAAAAAAGATTTTTTTTGGATGAAAATTACTTAATGCTTTTGTTTAGAGCTCAGTTGAGCGGAATTTCTTTTCCTTTGAAGTGCTAAGATGTAAAGGAATAGTACAGGCTTTTCAAGAACTGTTTTTCATATTTTTAAACTAGTGGTCAAATTGCAAGAAGAGAAAATGAAAACTTTGTAAATATGCCTAGTATAATGATAGAAGTTCTATTAGTACATCACTGTGAACTGTGATAAAGGTATCATAGGACATGGGGGATCTGCTATTGAATTTAAGTGAATTGGAATAAAGATGCATCCTTTGGGTTTGTTTTTAGTGTTGTTTTTTTTTTCCCTTAAGCAATGAGATAGAATATTAACCTTATTTTAAAACACATTGGAGCTTGTGTATTTGTCTCAGCTGTATCAATATTTAAATGTGGCTTATAATGTTCTAAAGTAAGTTACCCACTTCTCACTTGAACACTGAATTTGCACTTCTGGGAAATAAATATTTCCAAAATCATGTTGGAGGTAAACTTTTATCTTGAAGGTAAACAGTCAATATTGTTTTACCTGATACTGTTAAATGTCATCCAGGCTCAAGATAAATGTGAGATTACAGGGTTTGTTTAGTTTAAGATACTGATTCTATACAATTATCTCCTGCTTTTTTTTTAGCGTGAGCAACAGGAAAGAAGAGAGCCTTTTGTAAAAATGCAAATAGATAGAAAGTGCACAGGAGTAGGTGTGCTGTGCCTTAGAATGGGTACAAAGGAAGGAAGGTCATTCTGAATTAATCTTGAAGTTGGCTAGAATTGCAACTTTAATTCTTTAATTCCCTTCCCAGTAGCTTAGGTTCGCTACTGTATGGTGCTAAAAAGAACAATAGCAATATTGTATTAATCTCTAGCTAAAGAATCTGAAAGGTAATACCGAGGTTTTGTATTTATACCTTTTATTTGTTACAAGTACCGTTTACTGAGAATAATTCATGGCAGTGCTCAATGACCTAGTTTTAAAGCTTATTCACGTGGTTTTATTTTGAATATATAGATGTTTGTAGAAAGTAGTTATTGGGAAAGTAATGCTTATGTTCTTATTGCTGGAACTATGTACTCATAGAAGCCTAGCACCAAAAAGAGCTGTAAATAGACATTAATATCTAGTTGCTTGGGACTTTGTACAGATTTTAGCTACTTGAATCAGTGACCTGAAAACTTTGAATTGATAGCATTGAAATAATTTGTTCCAACAGCTCTGTGAACCCACACATCAGGGCATTTATATTACCCTGTGTTGGTCTGTCTTGGTTAAAAAAGCTTGAACTTCAACTACATCAACTCAACTTTGGTAACAAATATCATGACATGCACCTAGGCATACAAAACAGATTTCTGTCCCAAACACTGGGGGCTTTTTATACTTCATTTGCTTTTCAGTGGCATAGATTTTTGGAATTGTTTTACTTGTGAACTCCTTCTGTGGTGTTATTTTGTACATTGTTGTGGTACAACACTTTTGTAAACATCCATAGAATGAAGGTCAGGTTTTACTTTTAAGAAAAGAAATGGGTAAATTGAGTGAGCTTAAACAAAGTCACACCTTTTAAAACCAGGATTCCGAGTTTCTTCAGTTCTTCTATTAACAGAGACAAAGGGGAGATGTTTTGGATCTGGATCCAGTTTGTACTTTCTGTCCTTTTGTGCAAAGTAAGAACAGTGTCCTTCTGTGTGCATATGTACTGTTACTCACTGAAGATTGAGAATAGAGATAAGAACGTGTCCTTTCAGTGCTCTTTCCACTTCTGGATTACTGTATACATGTAACGATGGGACACTGTTTTCCTACTGTCATTTGCCCATCTGTAAATTGGGATTTTTAACTCTTAAGTATTTTCAGTCATGCTCGATTACTAGTAAACAACTTTAATATCTCCTGAATTGTAGGTGTTCGAATCTTACTTGTTTGTGTTTAACCGAGGTTTATGTTTTTTTCTTTTCTTAGGATTCCTACAGGAAGCAAGTAGTAATTGATGGAGAAACCTGTCTCTTGGATATTCTTGATACAGCAGGTCAAGAAGAATACAGTGCAATGAGGGACCAATATATGAGAACAGGGGAAGGCTTCCTGTGTGTATTTGCTATAAACAATACAAAGTCTTTTGAAGATATTCACCATTATAGGTGTGTATATTGAAAGATAATCGAACAACTCTTGTATTAGGTGGATAGGTTACTTGCTCTTCCACTAGATAATAGAATGATCTCCTATGAAATAGCATCTAAGGGGAAATTTGCAAATTAGCAACATTGCAACTTATTTGTGCATTTGTAGGTCTGGAATATTGGGTAATCTAAAAATCTGCTGCCTTGTTCGCAAGTTAGGCAGACAAAATATCTGAAAGCTCTTCTGGTATAAACTAATGTCAGTTAGTATTTCTGCCTGTTTGTAGTGAAGACTTACCTAAAGGTAAACTCTGCCCATTCCATAGATAAAATTGTGTGCTAAAATGGAAAAACTTACGTAATTGAAGTTGTGCAGCATATAATGTGAATTGTTAGCTTTTGTTCTGGGGGCGGAGGGGAAATACCTGTGGAATGTTACTAGAAGAGTAACATGGGTGAGCCCTGATGCCTAAGAAGGGCAGACACATACAAAATGAGAGCTCCAGGATGACTGCTAAAAGCAACCTGTTATTAGTTTCTTCATATTCTTTTTTTTTTTTAATAATTAGTTAAAAATTTCAACTCATGCTTTGTCAGCTACACTAATATAGAAATAAAAGCAGTCTCTGGTGATTACCATACCAGATAATTTATAACTTAGTAGCTGACTATTATCGTGAATTCTCCTTGGGTATTCTGTTAGAAGGCAATGCAAATTCCACCAAAAATCACGCGAGTTTAGCAGTATCAGTTTAAGATTAGTCCCAAATTCAGTTTGAAATTTATAATGCTGTCAGATCTATGTTGCTGTATGGTGGAGGAGTGTTTTGCTATTGGTGTTACCCACAAACCCAACATCTACTTGTAAGGTGAAGTTGCACATTTTTGTTACAAAAAGAAGTTACAATTCTTCATTTAAGGTGGGATACTATGATAGTTCAAGGTAATCGAAGTCAGGAGGTGTAACTGGTCTGATGACATAGTTTCATTTTCCCCTGTATGCCAGCAAATCAGCTCATTTGATTGTGTAGTGTGCTGATGAGAGTAGCTAAACAGGTAGATGCCTACCTACAGACAAATAGTTTACTGCTACCTGTTTCCCTGGAGCAGCTGGCGGGATCAGGGAGTACTGTTGCAGATGAGGGGCGAAATTGCTGCATATTAACCCAGGGAGAGATCAGTATTGAGAATGTGGGCGCTTTCTTTCAGGACTGTTTATTTTTTATATTTAAATTGAGCTAGCCAGCCTTTGCATAAATTTCATTATATATAAAATACAATGTTCTAATTGAATGTATTGGTACAGGTGACTTAAAAGAAACAGTTAAGAGTTAGCAGAGCAGGGCTGACAAATTAAAAAAACAAATCTATTGCTCTGAAAAAAAACCTGCAAACTTCTTTTCATTATCTAACCAGATTATTACAAATGGGTTTCCTCTGGTTGTAGAGGAGGAAGGCACAAAGGTAAGATAGACGTTGATGTAAGCAGAAGAAGGATCATAGAGGTTTTTATGTGGAATTTTTGTTTTCAAAGAGAGGGTTGCAGAGTTGCATAAGAAGGTCTTCCCAGTTTATTTCAAAGAATGTTGTGAGTTGAATGCTGGAGTTTCTACTGTGCATTCGCACACCTGTGGATGACCTTGCAGACTGAAGTTGAAGGCTTATAAACAAATAACTGAAAACAGTGACTATATTAATTAAGGAACATGCTGCTAGATTATTTGGGAAGACAAAAGTAATGAAATTAATGATTGTTATTTGAGATACTTGATAAGTACATCTAACTAGTATTTCAAGATGCTTTCTAACTAGTGTTTGAAAGGACTCCCTTACCGAATTTCTCTTTGTAGAGAACCAGACCAGTGGTCCTCAAAGTTTAAAAACCCCCGTCTAAATGCAGAGTTTGCAATGCTGTCTTTAATTAAAAAATAAATAAAAAAAAACCAAACCCAAGCCCCCACCAAACCAAACCAAAATTGAGACAACAGGCATAGGGCTTCTGACAGTGTTTTATCTTAGCAAATGAATTGAGTATTACGAGTGCTAAGTATGAGAGATAAGTAAGTAGTAAGTTTTATACCAGAGCTTCTTAGGCTTGTTCTGGCATTAGCTGTTAAAAACTTTTTTTAAAAAAAAAAAAAGTCATGACATCAAAATCTATAGTAGTTATAGTAGTTTGCAAAATGTCAACCTTTTTTTTTTTTTTTTAAATAAGATGGTAAACTTGATGGTGACACTTTTTTGATCACTTTATTTTTTGTTGGCTTCTAATAGTGTATGTGCAGTAAATTAACATAAAGAACGATGTTGGAATCTGTTAATTTTGTTTCATTGTTTTAAAATCTATCATATAAACTATTAATACCTGTTAAATAAAATGTCTTTGTCTTTTTTTTTTTTTTTCCCCTTTCTTTTTAGGGAACAAATAAAGAGAGTTAAAGACTCTGAAGATGTCCCAATGGTGCTAGTAGGAAACAAATGTGATTTGCCTTCCAGAACAGTAGATACAAAACAAGCTCAGGATTTAGCAAGAAGTTATGGAATTCCTTTCATTGAAACATCAGCAAAGACAAGACAGGTAAAGCTCAAAACTTAAGAGATACAAATGTAGAACTCTCATCTGAATTATCATGTTAATTATTCTAGTCATTGACAATTGCTTGGTCATATCAATAGATATATTTCTCCAGAGTAGAAATTCTTGTGGTGTCTCTTTCTGTGAGCTCACTGACAGCTGGTAATTGTTTATTAATGAGTGATTCGCTTCAGTTGTGCGAACTCAAAGAATGAGACCTGGGCTGCTGTTACTCTCCACTGTTAGACGGTTGCAGCATTCTTAACATTGTGATAGGTTTTAATAGAATAAAAAGCACTTCTACTTAGAGGTGAAATGCTTTTTTCCTCAGCAAGAGGATTAAGCAGACAAACAGCTAATTAGTTTATTCTGTTTTAAGCCTTTTCATTAATAACAAAAGGAATTTTTCTTTAAGGCATTGATTCAGCATTAGTGGGACATGCTTGATATACCTTTTTATAGCTAAGCAATTGACCATAAGTCTCTTTTGAAATTACTGGATTAACTGCTTGTGTAAACTGATACTCTTTTAAGACTTTAGAGCTCGCTGTTGGTTTATTGTACCCCACTGGTATAGGGGAAGGAGGCAGCCATTGGGGTCCTTTTGGTGCTTCCCTCAGGGTTTGCTGGGACAAAGGTGCACAGAGTGGTACATCTGTGTATTCAGGAGAAGATAAGCTATACAGATGTAGATGAAACTGGTTCTGTACTTCTGGAAGAAAGTATTCTTTTTGAAAAATGCTGATTTGTGGTTTTTGTTTTAAGAGTAAAGCCTTACTATCAGTACAAATTAGATCAGGCCTGAGTGGCTGAGTAACTCATACTCTCTGCATAATCAGAAGTGTTACGTGCAAGTTATGACTCGGGAATTAGGTGTAGCAGAAGGAGGCAAATAAGAGCAGAATACTGCAGTTTGAGTAACTGCTCAATGTAACTGCTAAATAGATTCAGCTGCATCACTTGGCAGAATCTCCTCACAGACAGTATGTTATTTTTGAATATAAGAAATGAATATTTTATTAGTGCAAATTTGCTACACCCACCCAAGTTCCTGACAAGTTGAAGTCTGAACTTATTAGTAAAACGTTACAGAGGAATTGAAGGAATGCTAACATTTGGCAATAGAGAAAGTCTCTGTTGTGTAGTTCTGTTTTTTTAATCCTACCTAACTTTAATGGCTGAGAATAAATTAGACAACAAGAGTGTTCTGAAGAATGTGGCATGTAAGTGGACTGAATAATTACAGAGTTCTTGTTTGGAAGGTCCTGTATTACTGGCTGTCATTGAGATGTTAGGATAAAAAAGGAAGAACCCTGAAATTACATTTGAGGTTTTAAATAATGAAAATTCTGTACTAAAATGTAGATTTTACTTTGTTCACTCTCTTGTATAGAGCATCAGGCTTTGTTTAGGAAATATTCCTTTTGCATAGCCACTTTTAATGAAAGTATGTTGATACGAGGGTGTATTTTCAAAGATTTCTTCTCCCCACCCTACCTGCTTTTACTTCTACAAGCAGCCCCACCATGCCTAGCCAACACAAAATTGCATGCTCAAAAATCAGCAGTCCCCTTCAGTTTTATAATCTTTGTTTACACAATGTAGTATCTGCTTTTTTATCTCTCAGGCTTTTTTAAGAGGTCTGCCAGAAGTTTGCATTTGTTTCAGAGGACAATAGATCAGTCATATAGGAACTGTTATTCTATAATTTGACTTCTTTTTATCTGTGACTTTATATTTCTGGAGGTGCCAACTGAAATGTTATAGAAGGGACTGTTGGCTTTTGTTTTTTTTCAAAGCTGAGCTTTACATACCCTACAGATGAAGAGTCCCTAAAGGTGTCTCGTGGATTTTAAAATAAAGATATCCAATATGCTCTTTTGAGAATGTTGGCTTCTAAAAGTTGGAACCACTAGGTACGGTTGCTGATTCTTTTGTAGTGCTGTTCATAACGTGTTATGAAACTGCTTCATAAGATGCTGTGTTAATTAAATACTTCTGAGAAGGTAAAAGGGATTTCGAGGAAGAACCTGATCTTTAATTACAGCAAGATCATCTAAATATTTGTGTGTGTTTGTGTATATATATGTGTATACCTATGCATTTACATATTATAATTTTTCAGTCACACTGGCATATATAAAAAAAAATATGCATATATATACACACACCATCTTCCAAAGTAACTTTTTAAATTAGGGGATTCAAACCATTTTGCGAGCTGCATGTGGCCCATGGACTGTATTTTTATTGGGCAGAATTCAGTCCTTGGCTAAAAATTAATAAATAAGTAAAAACCTGGTCCTCTCTGGTTACATGCAGAACTTCCAAGCATGAACAAATGTAGCTGGTGGTCTGGTAACTTCTGGAGCCTGTAAAAAGTCTGACATGAATACTTAGAAGCAGGAACCTTCTTTTCCTTTGCTGTACGCACCTACCACCACACTGAAATGTCAGCATGTAATACTGAAGGGGCCCTCGCCATCTTCTTGCTTCCTTCCCCGTGCCCCACTTCTGCTGGAGCTCAGAGAAAATCCGAAAGGTTTCTGGGGAAGGAAACAGGGGAGATGGAAATGGAAAGGAGTTGGCCATGTAGTCTGTTTTGATTGGCAAGACACTCTTTTTAAATGATGGCATTGTATGCTCATGCAAAATGATATCTCAGTTCCAAATAATTCAGTTTTTAACATTTTCAGAAATTCATAGACAAGGTCAAAAATAGGTAAGATGAAAAACACTAAAATGAAGTGCGGAAATAAGTTGTTCTAAAAGTTAGTGTATTTGTTTTTATTTGATTCTGACTGGCAATAAAGATGTAAACTTTAACTTACTGCAAAAAGGTCGTGTTTTAAGCCAAACGCCTGTGTGAATTTTCATACAAATCATTGAGTTAATCAGCGAAACATTAGCTTAGTGGACCCTACAACTTGGGTGTAAGGCTATAGATTATTAATTTTCTTTTAATTAGACTACTGACTTAAATGAATATAACGTAATTTATGAAAATAATCCTATTTCTAAATGTAAACACGTCAATACTGCTGGTTTTGTAAGGCATGTTGCAATCACTTGTACTCATCCTTTCACAATCCTTATGCAGAAGGGTGTGGATTTCTTAGGTTTATTTTGATAGCTGGTTTTGCTTTTCTCTGATTGACATAAGCTTTAAATTCAAATTCTTCCCCGTCCACATGAGTGTATAGCTCCCAATATTATCAACAGTATCAACAAGAGATGAGAGGCAAACTTGATTTATCCCCACCAAGGCTGGATCCTGTATTCTTTACTGGGCTTTCGTTTTTAATGTGAGGTTACATGAGGAAAAGCTGTAAGGCTGTACCCCAAATGTGGTTTAACTGAGGATTTTGTTTTCCTTGGAATATTTCAACTGTCCTGCTAGTGTTAAAGTCAAAGGAAAAGCAGAAATATAGGCATTATTGTAAGAATAGTACAGGATTCACCAAAGCATTAGGTCTCATTGTTGAGAACATAAACACACTTTTGAAGTGTTTAATGAAGAAGTTGACCTAAATCACAAGGATGCTGTTAAAAAAGCATTATAGTTATTGCAGCTGGCTAATGTACAATAGGTTAGGCCCCAAACTTGTGATGAAAAGAAGTTGAGAACCTGTGCCTGGTCTGATGAAGAAATAGGTGCAGTATTTACAGAACTTCATTCCTACATTCTCAATTAAGATTAATGAATAACTGATAATTTAGACAGTTTGCTTGAACTAACTTGCCATTTTTTTTAGGGATTTGTCATATCTGTTTAATGATATTGTATGTGTTTCACTCCAAGCCATTTTTAATGTAGTTCATATGTTCAGGTTCCATTTTAAAACTTTGTTTTCGATTACTTATAACTTTGTCAGACTTCACAGTGTGGTTTTTTTCATGTCACTTTTTTGTTGTAACGTAAAACTTTTCCAAAGAAGTTTAGTCCTTCCCAAGAACAAGACCCCAAAGAAAAAAAAAAGTTTTGATAATGTCGAAACAAATTCTGGCATCCAGCTTGTGTGCTGAATGACTCCAGGATGCTGAGGAAACAGGTTTGTTATTTACCTAACGTAAAGATAAATAGGTGTGGCAAAAAAAGGATGTGCACAACCGGTGAGATTCAGGTAGGGCAGACAGCTGCTTTTATGCAAGTGAGTAGCATTCTTTTTGCTCGTGATCTCATGAATAATTTTGATTTTTATTTGTCTTACGGTTTTAAGAGACCAACTCTAAATTTAGCGTGTAAAGGTGGACACAGAACACACAGTTTCCTCTAAGCGCTATTTACAGAAGCAGAACATGTGAAAATTCCCGTTTGTACTTTGGTCTGCATTTGAAATAGTCTTTCTTTGCACGTAGTCATATTTTAAATTGAATGTTTCGCCATCTCCTAGGAATCAAAAGCATCTTGAAAACATTGCCTCGAGGTCATGGGTTCTTTGGGCTGTTAAAGTAAATAGCAGTTTAGATTTTGAAGTTTTTAATATCTGCCAAAGGAAATTTTTGCTTCCTATTCTGACAGCTAAAAGAACTGGTTAATCATATTTTAGATATATGGTCCATGCTCATTTAAGGAAAAAATACTGAAGAATCTTAAAAGAAATGGGTATTAAAATGACTTCTTAAGCTTATAAGACTGGCACCTGGCTCTTTTAAAATGTCACCTTGTGCTTAGGAAATTAGCAAATGTGTCTCTGTACAGATTTTCTTTCAGAATAATTTCTTTCAACAGAATTCGTAAGACTGTTCTTGGTGATGGCAGCAGCAGTAGTAATTTCTTTTCTCACCCTGTCTGTGTCTCTCCTTCTCTCTGCATTGCTAAAGCAAATTACAGCTCCTGTTGGTGATGGGAAAGTTGGCAATGAACATTGACTGAAGAATTGTTATCTAATTATTCATGTGAAAGCTCCATAATCAAATTATGAATTTCTACTGCAAGACAGTAGATTTGCAAAAATGTTGATTCTTGTACAGCCTGTGCTTTGGCACGTAGCAGCTGATTAATGTTTACTGCTTCCTCTTCAGGAATAAAGTTCCATTCCTTCCAGGAAAATATGAAAGTATGAGCTTTACTTGCTTTTTGCTGGTTTTAATGGCTTCCTTTACATTTTGCAAACTCTCAGACCTGGAATGTAAGAAGACTTGTCACCTTGTCAATACTTCACTACATCCTAACGGGGTACATTGTATATACCAGACATATACAATTCAATAAATAAATCTAATTCATTTAATCTTTAAATTCAAGTGGCTGTAGTTCAGAAGAGCCCTCAGATAAGCAGCAGTGTGTTAAGAATGAGTCTTAAATGTGATAACCTATGGCACAGTTCATGGAAAATAACCCGGTAACCGTGGCAGTAAGTGTTAGCCATTTTTGTTATTAGGTGCATAATATGAAGATGGGTTGGAGCGATAATTTATAGAAAATCTGCCAAATAAAAGCCCAGATGGTGCGTTTCAGTGGTAATAAAGTTTGGGGGCTTAAATAGATGTACTGTTTTCTACTATCATTAGTCCGTTCTGGTTTTATTTTCAAATAATGAGTTTGTCTTAAATTAACAACCCTGTTGATCTGAGGAGACAAGTAATGAGATTGACAGTAAGGCAGAGGAGAGATTTGCTCTCCCCTTTAAAAGCTTCAGCTAAACATTTTGCATCTTGTTATAACAAGAACATCCTCACAGATTTATCTAAATTTTAAAGTTTATTCACAGATATAGTCAGTTTAAAATAACAGATATTATAACTTAAAGCGGGTCCTGTACCTCTTTATCTTGTACTTGCTTAAAGATATTTTCAGTCCTCATACTGTGTGTTGTTTTGTTTTTTTTTTTTTTTTTTTTTTTTAAATGCTTATGGTATCCTCATTTCCAAGTGGCCTAAACACAAAGCTGCAGAAAGGTAGGGTGTGAGACCGGAGAAGTAAAATGTGTAGCTGTGTGTCATCCCTGGAATACTTGAAGAGCTCTTTTAACCAGAGAAAAATGTGAGCAGCAGAACTTCACAGGCTGTTTGCAATTAGTTGTTGTTATGGCACCCTAGGGATTGCCTGAGTCTTGCCCAGAGAGAACAGATTAGGTGTGCCTTGTACATTGATGTGAACCAAGCTCTTAAACATGATAATAATGAACTTGTTGCTTTTTCTGCATGGAAGAATAACTTCTATAAATACAACAACTAATTACTTTTGAAAGTTACTCTGAAATATATACTTAAGGTGCTTCTTAAAAGCACTTTGCCGTGACGCAAATATCCCTTTTCCTAAATCTAATAGCGTTCTGCTTGCTCTGTGAAGTAAGTAGCTTTAAAAACAATATTGCTCAAAATTTAGTATTCTTAGAAGTTTTTATTTCTTTGTAACCTCTTAGGAAATTACCTGTGTGGACTTTTTCCGTACTTTTTTTGTTCCACAGATTTTTGCGGAGAAAGTAGACCTTCTTATATAAAGAACAGAACATAAATGAGCTTATGTTTCATTGCCTGCCCAAACAGTAACAGGTTCTCACTTTGGTTAAGAAGTGAAAATAGGTAGTTAACTGTGTGTGTTTATAAGTATCCCCTGGTTACCAATCTAATAAGGTTTTGTGCCTGCTAAATACATCCATGTCCACAAAAATGTGCGAAAAGATTCAGTAACACAAGCGGTATTCTTTTCAATGCGGTATGCAATGGAAGAAAAATTTTTTTTTTTGTTGTCCAAGTGTTACCTTGCACAGGAAAAAAAGGAGGGCTTGAAGCGTAGATATTCACAATAACTGATAATTAATAAATTGCGTGTCTCTTTTGCTTGCATTAAAAAGTATTTATCAAGCAGCAAATGTACAAGTCCAGCATTTTAAATATATAAATAGAGATCCATATACTTCTCTCAAGTAAAGCTCATAATTTCAGTGGTTTTGTTGTGGCTTTTTCCCCTGCCATGGGTGTCCCAATATGTCACAATTGTTAATGAAGCAGTTTTTAAGGAGTTGTGTTTTACAATGCAGAGAGTGGAGGATGCTTTTTATACATTGGTGCGAGAGATTCGACAGTACAGAGTGAAAAAAATCAGCAAAGAAGAAAAGACTCCAGGGTGCGTGAAAATTAAAAAATGCCTTGTAATGTAACAGGGTAAGTTTTGTAATGTAACAGGGTAAGTTTTGTAATGTAGCAGGGTAAGTTTTACAAATCACTTGCCAAATGAAAATGATTGACAGTCTTGCAAATCAGACATTTTATGGTTAATTGATGATGTAATTTAACATATAAAACCAATCAGCTTTCAGTACAGTAGTCCTGAATAATATTCCTAGCAAACACCGAAGTACTACAGATTTGCTTTGTTTCGTGAGTTTTTGATAAATAGATTAACAAGAAGTCTTTACTGCATATCATGTTGCCCATCTGTGAACCGGAGGCCTGGTGGTGTGTGTGAAGAACTTAAGAGGGAAAAGTTTTATTACAGATATATTACAGATGCTTTTGAACTGAATATTGATTGGGTCTTCAGGTTGATGAACTGAGGGGAGAGGATCATAATATTTATAGTTCTTCTCAGATGCAGAACAGGAGGTTCCTAATCCAGCAAAACAGTATCTGGCTAGCATCTGGCATACAGGATTTCTTAATTCTCAGGCTCTTCCTTATGCCATGCCATTTTCCCCTTGTTTTCCCCCAGCTTAAAAAAAAATATCATTTGCAGAAATATGTTAGTTTTCTTTTTTGTCAACTGTAATGCTGTGAGTGATCCAGATTCGGACAAAATGGTAGGGTTTCACTTTTATTGAGAGCCTTTACAATGGGTGTGGGGAAGCAACAGTGAAGTAAAACTGGAGGGGAGGGGAACTCCAAAAACAACAACAAAAACCCCCACCAAAACCCCCATTACCCAGACTCTCACAAAATCATTTTTTATCTGTATACTGCACTGTAAGGAGAAAGGGAGGAAGAGAGGGAAGAAGCTACTGTGATATGGAAGAAGTGCTAGTCTGAATCACTTCCAGTGCTTTTTGAACAAACCATCAGAGTAGCTCCTTGCATGTATTACTATTCCATTAATTCTTGACCTCTTACTGCATCACTGCGGAGAGTGGGTTGTTACTCCTTACATGCTCAATGGGAGGATGACCTGGAATTTCCTGTTGTGTAAAAGAAAAACTTTGCTTTTCAAGGTGTTTTTTCACACTTCAGAACATCTTGCAGAGAGGTAGTGGAATTTGACTTGTATCCTAAAGAGACTGTCACAACTGTAGGAATATTCCCTTCAGTAACGGAGTTTTATTCCCCTTTCCAGAGGGAGGGAGGAGAAATTTTATTTCATATCAGTGTTCACTAGATCTGCTCAGGCTTATTATATTATCAGCTTTTAGGTGATGAATGACTGCTCTGAGATGATTCTTCAGATGTTTGCTTACAAACAGTATCACAAAAATGTATCTTTATCAAAGGTTTCCTTTGCAGGAAACTGGAAATTTCAGTTATGAAGCTCCCCAGTCTTGCATCCAAATACCTTAATAAAATTGATGCCATCAAAGTACCTTGTTTTATTCTTTCCTCGTTATCAAAACCAACTAACAGCAGCGTGGCAAGATTACTTTTGATGAGAGCAATATGAATTAAATTGCTTAAGCCTCCTTCCTGTAGCCTTCTGAAAACCAACTTTGCTGTTTCTTGCTGTCTTGCTAACATAGCCATACCTCAAAGTAGAATTTCTTTTTGTATACTAGGAGTTTAAAGGTCCTGAATTCTGTCTGCTTTTTCCTTTCTGTGGACTTCCTTGGGAGAAGGAGAACAGGATGGTGGGAATTGTGGTTTTCATTACTTTTTTTTCAGTGGAAGCATCTTTTCAGACTTTAAGATTCTCTTTGATAGCTCAGTGAACATATGCTTTCTTTCTACCAGCTTCCTACTTTCTTTCTGCCTGTGTCCAACAGAAGTATGTTTTTGGTTTTTTGTATGGTGTTTTTTTTCCTAGATGGGGGAAATATCTTTTGTCAATGTTTGGTTTGGTGTTACGTGTCGTGTCTCCCCCCCCCCCAACTATTTAGGAAATAGTCTTGAATATAAGACTCTAGAACTTCAAGAGTGTCTGCTCAGGGGAGGAAATGTTTGTCTTTATACTCAAGTGAATTCTACATAGTATTGATAGTCATGTCAGCAACTTTGTATTTAGGAGGTTAAGCTGGAGAAAGCATATTCCAAAATCCTTGTGGTATAGCTGTAGTTCAGCAGTGATTCTAGTGGGATAAGAAATCTGGCATTTAAAACAGTCTGGCTTGTATTACTTTCCAGTCAGTAAGAAGATACATATTATTTCAGATTTGAGACTTCAAAAATATTCATTATAACACAGTTCGCAATGATAGTATTTATTTTCCTTTTTTGTCAGTAGATAATTACATTTGATAGTTCAGAGTGTTTTGCTGTCTCTTGGAATATTCAGTTTATCTTCTTGCTGCTTATGGGATGCCTTTTCAGTTACCTTGTACAAGATTAATATAACTAAGAACTTTGACTACCCGGATTACCATTAACTGCTGATGTTTTCCAACAGGTCCGTTCCTTTGGCTGTTGCATAGTAAGGCAGAAAGTACATAACATCTTTTGCTCTGTTGGTAATTTCCAACTAGCAAGAGGAATTTTTAAAACTCAGTGCAAAATCCTCAAAAGATCTCTTTTTTGAAAGCATTAAAGTTTTAACATAAAAAGCATACTATAAGAAAGTTTTTCTAGGGCATAAATTAGACTTCTAGATAACATAATTTAGATTGAGCTGTGTTAATAGTAAAAAGTTTGAATTACAAAAGTTCTAGATTTGAATTAAAAATCTAGATTCTTGATTAAAACTGTAATTTAATGATTTTTCCATATTACTACAGAAGTGTACAAATAATTTATCTTCCTCGTGACTGATACATGTATGTATGATATATTTAAAAAATATAAAAAGACTTTTTTCTACAACTTGAAACTTGTTTAAGGGTCTATTTTTGGGGCTGGGGTATTAAGGAATTCCCAGTTCCTTATGAATTTAGGGTTTCTTATTGATAGCCATGTTAGTTGCCAAGTCTCATGCATGCTTGTAACCATGCAGTCGCATATCCAGACTTCTGTATGGTCATGGGACCATGTGGTGCTCCAAAGAAAAGTTGTAGCCAGGAGCAGGTTGTCTCTGTGGGAACAGTTCTGATCTTTCTGTTCCCTTTGCCTTTTGTAGTTGCCCTTTGGAAAAACAAGTGCCAGGAGCAAGCTCCGTCAGTGCATCTTTATTGAGGCAGCGTGGTATAGTTCTGAGCACGCACAGCGAATTTTGATTTTTTTATTTTTTATTTTTTTTTTAATCCTGAGCCTGGATTTAGAGCACACATTCAGCGCATCTTTCCAAAAAACTTGCACACAATAACTCCATTGTTAGCGGGAGGAAGGTCAGCTGCATATGCAGCCCCTTCTTACTGAAAGAAATAACTGGAAAGGTTGACTGCCTTTGATCCTACAGTATTGATGCCTTTAGGGACCTTCTGTAAACAGAGTATCCACTACTTACATTTAAAATTTAATCCACAGACTGAAAAATGAGAGACCTCGGTTTATCTTGAGTTCTCCAGTTCTAATTCACAAATATTCTAAACGTAGTTTTGTATGTCATGTTAAATTCATTACCTGAATTTAAGAGGAATTGTGGTAGGACCAAACTACTAAATACATAATTAATAATTTTAAAGGCTTGATCTACAAAGGTGTAAATGCGAGGACAAAAGCTAAGTCAATTCCATAGTATTTTGCAACATGCGCTGTATTTAGAAGATCATGGCCTTACTAGGTAGAATAAAGATTTCAGCCTTAATTGTAAAGTCATGCGTTTAAAGGCCCATAATAGTCCCTGGATATTCCTTTGTACAGGTTATTTTCTCTGTATTTATTTTAAAACCAGTTTAATGAGGGAGGGTTCATTTGAAGACTTAAATTGCAATTTTTGTTTAGCATGTCTCATTTCAAGACACTGCTAAAAGCCAACGACTGTCCTCATAATGATTATTTTTCTAATGCATTAATGATGAGTGTGAAATACTGAAAGGTAGTTTTTGTAAGGAAATTTGAACAGTCTTGTAGAAGAATATTGTGCAGAGGTTTTCCTTATACCATTCTTGTGTTCTAAGAATGAAACTATTCTTCTGTCTGCTGTGATTGATTCTTAATGCTTTCCTCCTAGCCAGCTGCCTGAGATGAGAACTGCTGTAGATAGACTTTGAACCGTCACTCCTTCTA